TCGTCCAGCCTGAAAGTCGTCCATTTCGGAAATAGTCCTGCTTTTTCATCAAAATATTGGCTCGCAAATGGTCCGGTAACTCGCTAATAGTCCCAATAGTCCTTCGTCCTGGACGCGTACTCACGCTCTGAGCCGCCTCGCCTTTCCTTCCCAGCCAGTGTGCCATTGTTTACCAGTGAGTGACGGTCCCCTCACATGCTCCTACGAAATATTTCATAATATTCCATTGATTTTAGTGCTTGCAAGTGCTAAATAAGCTACCATGGCTCCAAATAAAGCTTCTAGTGCCAGCCCTTTGGTAAAGAATGTGAGAAACACATAATTTATGAAAAAGTTTGTAGAAAAATACAAAGATGGTGGTGGTAGAGTGGAAGCAGTTGTTGATGAACATAAGAAAGGAGGATCACTGCAGCAGGCCTGTTGGCCCATGCTCGGCAGGTCCTTTACAATTCATCCCACTAACGAAACATTTTCCCAACCCAGTCCTCAATGCTACCCAAGAAATAAGCTCTGATAACTCTATCCACTCATTTGCAAGTCCCAAATGAGTGGATAGAGTTATCAGAGCTTATTTCTTGGGTAGCATTGAGGACTGGGTTGGGAAAATGTTTCGTTAGTGGGATGAATTGTAAAGGACCTGCCGAGCATGGGCCAACAGGCCTGCTGCAGTGATCCTCCTTTCTTATGTTCATCAACAACTGCTTCCACTCTACCACCACCATCTTTGTATTTTTCTACAAACTTTTTCATAAATTATGTGTTTCTCACATTCTTTACCAAAGGGCTGGCACTAGAAGCTTTATTTGGAGCCATGGTAGCTTACTTAGCACTTGCAAGCACTAAAATCAATGGAATATTATGAAATATTTCGTAGGAGCATGTGAGGGGACCGTCACTCACTGGTAAACAATGGCACACTGGCTGGGAAGGAAAGGCCGAGGCGGCTCAGAGCGTGAGTACGCGTCCAGGACGAAGGACTATTGGGACTATTAGCGAGTTACCGGACCATTTGCGAGCCAATATTTTGATGAAAAAGCAGGACTATTTCCGAAATGGACGACTTTCAGGCTGGACGATTATTGAGGGACCACTGTACTACCGTCCTGCCAAGTGAGTGTAAAACAAAAGCCTGTAATTGTTTTACATGATGTTAGGATTGCTGGTGTCTTTTGTCTGTCTCTTATGTTCATCAACCACTACCACAACTGCTTCCACTCTACCACCACCATCTTTGTATTTTTCTACAAACTTTTTCATAAATTATGTGTTTCTCACATTCTTTACCAAAGGGCTGGCACTAGAAGCTTTCTTTGGTGGTAGTGATGGTGGTAGAAGGTAGCAGTGATGGTGGTAACAGTTGTAATAGTGGTAGAAGGTTGTAGTGATGGTGGTAGAGGGTTCCTTCTTTAGTGATTCAGCGATTCAACCAACTCCTCCAATGTTGTTGGAGTTATATAGGGCTACAAAAACCACCGCCGCCTCACCACCATTATGGACGGCTTACACTCAGTGGTCCTTATACACCCAACAACAACACAACACAACACCTCTCGTGACATACGTAATGACTTATTTTATTCATTCTACAGTATATTCCATGTTTCTATGTTATTAATATTGTTTATTATGTCATATTAGTTGAATTGTGATAGATAAATAAGCCATAGAGTTGATATTAGTGTCATATTCTCCAACGATAAACTTGCCATCCCTCCCTCACAAACAAATAGCCAATAAGAACATAACAATGGAAGAACACTGCGGGTCTACTGGCCCATACAAGGCAGGTCCTTATCAAAATGACCTCCACCCAAAGCTACCCAAGAATTTACTCCCGTACCCAATGACACAAATCAAACTCAGCTCCTCCAACTCGTATATTTGTCCAATCTCTTCTTAAAGCTACCCAAGGTCCTAGCCTCGATCACCCTACTGGTAAGTGTGATGTTAAATAAGAAATTAAGAAAGTAGGAACACTGCAACAGGCCTGCTGGCCCATACTAGGCCGGTCCTTCACAAATCCAACCCACTAACAGAAATGCTACCCAAGCAATAAGCTCAGGTGCAAGTCCGACTCAAATTCAACCCCTCTCACTCGTATATTTATCCAACTTAAATTTGAAACTACCCAATGTTTTAGCTTCGATCACCCTACTAGGCAGACCGTTCCACTCATCAACTACCCCTATTACCAATGTTCATTTATACATTTTATTAGTGCCCTAGCGTCCTTATGGAGGGGGATTCCCCTTCCAAATAACCTCTCTTCCCTCTCTCCTCCTCCCTGTCTTCCATTCATCAACAACAGCCTTCAATAAAGGTAACTGTCATGTTGAATGTTCATTCTTTTGTGCATGTAAATACATGTATATCTTTTAGGTAAAAATAAAAAAATTGTTGTTGATACTTCTGGGTGTCTGGAACGAATTAATTGGATTTACATTATTTGTTATGGGGAAAATTGATTCAAAAATCGTCCATTTCGATAATAGTCCCACTTCCAGGAATGGATTATGGACGATTATTGAGGGACCACTGTACCTCCCTGGGTGGTTGCTGTCTACCAACCTACTACTATAGAGGAATAAGTTTACTGAGTATACCAGGAAAAGTGTACGGTAGGGTTATAATTGAAAGAATAAGAGGTAAGACAGAATGTAGGATTGCGGATGAGCAGGGAGGCTTCAGAGTGGGTAGGGGATGTGTAGATCAGGTGTTTACATTGAAGCATATATGTGAACAGTATTTAGATAAAGGTAGGGAAGTTTTTATTGCATTTATGGATTTAGAAAAGGCATATGATAGTGGATAGAGGAGCAATGTGGCAGATGTTGCAAGTATATGGAATAGGTGGTAAGTTACTAAATGCTGTAAAGAGTTTTTATGAGGATAATGAGGCTCAGGTTAGGGTGTGTAGAAGAGAGGGAGACTACTTCCCGGTAAAAGTAGGTCTTAGACAGGGATGTGTAATGTCACCATGGTTGTTTAATATATTTATAGATGGGGTTGTAAAAGAAGTAAATGCTAGGGTGTTCAGGAGAGGGGTGGGATTAAATTATGAGGAATCAAATTCAAAATGGGAATTGACACAGCTACTTTTTGCTGATGATACTGTGCTTATGGGAGATTCTAAAGAAAAATTGCAAAGGTTAGTGGATGAGTTTGGGAATGTGTGTAAAGGTAGAAAGTTGAAAGTGAACATAGAAAAGAGTAAGGTGATGAGGGTATCAAATGATTTAGATAAAGAAAAATTGGATATCAAATTGGGGAGGAGGAGTATGGAAGAAGTGAATGTTTTCAGATACTTGAGAGTTGACATGTCGGCAGATGGATTTATGAAGGATGAGGTTAATCATAGAATTGATGAGGGAAAAAAGGTGAGTGGTGCGTTGAGGTATATGTGGAGTCAAAAAACGTTATCTATGGAGGCAAAGAAGGGAATGTATGAAAGTATAGTAGTACCAACACTCTTATATGGATGTGAATCTTGGGTGGTAAATGCAGCAGCGAGGAGACTGTTGGAGGCAGTGGAGATGTCCTGTTTAAGGGCAATGTGTGGTGTAAATATTATGCAGAAAATTCGGAGTGTGGAAATTAGGAAAAGGTGTGGAGTTAATAAAAGTATTAGTCAGAGGGCAGAAGAGGGGTTGTTGAGATGGTTTGGTCATTTAGAGAGAATGGATCAAAGTAGAATGACATGGAAAGCATATAAATCTATAGGGGAAGGAAGGCGGGGTAGGGGTCGTCCTCGAAAGGGTTGGAGAGAGGGGGTAAAGGAGGTTTTGTGGGCGAGGGGCTTGGACATCCAGCAAGCGTGCATGAGCGTGTTAGATAGGAGTGAATGGAGACGAATGGTACTTGGGACCTGACGATCTGTTGGAGTGTGAGCAGGGTAATATTTAGTGAAGGGATTCAGGGAAACCGGTTATTTCCATATAGTCGGACTTGAGTCCTGGAAATGGGAAGTACAATACCTGCGCTTTAAAGGAGGGGTTTGGGATATTGGCAGTTTGGAGGGATATGTTGTGTATCTTTATACGTATATGCTTCTAAACTGTTGTATTCTGAGCACCTCTGCAAAAACAGTGATAATTTGTGAGTGTGGTGAAAGTGTTGAATGATGATGAAAGTATTTTCTTTTTGGGGATTTTCTTTCTTTTTCGGGTCACCCTGCCTTGGTGGGAGACGACCGACTTGTTGAAAAAAAAAAAAAGTGTGTATATTTTTTTTTCAACACGTCAGTTGTCTCTCACCAAGGCAGGGTGACCCAAAAAAGAAACACTTTCACCATCATTCACACAATATCACTGTCTTTGCAGAGGCACTCAGATTTGACAGTAGATATCCCTCCATATCACCAATATCCAAAATTCCTCCTTTAACCCTTAAACTGTCCAAGCAGATTTACGTTCACATGTGTATTGCTCCAAAAGTATATCTATGTTTTTTTTACATATTTTCAAATATAACAAAAAAAAGTAGATCAAAGTTTTTTTACACATTTTTAAATGTAAAAAAATAAAAAGATCTACTTTTTTTACATACTTTCAAATGTTGAAAAAATGTAGATCTACATTTGGACAGTTTAAGGGTTAGAGTGCAGGCATTGTACTTCCCACCTCCAGGACTCAAGTCCGGCTAACCAGTTTCCCTGAATCCCTTCAGAAAACATTACCTTGCTCACACTCCAACAGCTCGCCAGGTCCCAAAAGGCACTTGTCTCCATTCACTCCTGTCTAACACTCACACATGCATACTGTACTTCCAAGGCTCTCACACACAATACCTCTTTCAAGTATATTCACATGAACAATGCACTCCAAGATAGTAACTGATTTCCAATTAAAAATGCCTGTATTATTAGTCCTAACGATATACATATAATTTAGGCCTGTGCTGAATGAATTACTATGCCTTCTAGACAGTTCAACTTGCAATTGCAGTGTACATGACCAACATATGAAGCAGTACCAGCATTAACACCTCTATTTCTCTTTCAGAAACTGACTTAATAGACAAGAAGACCCGGGTAGGCCTATTCTCAACTTGAGAGGTGGAGCCACTTCGAGTAGGCCTACTTTTCACTTAAGAGAGGAGAAGCCCCGGGTAGGCCTACTTTCAACTTAAGAGGAGAGACCCTGGGTAGGCCTACTTTCAACTTCAGAGAGGAGGAGAGGCCCTGGGGACGCCTACTTTCAACTTCAGAGAGGAGAGGCCCTGGGGACACCTACTTTCAACTTCAGAGAGGAGAGGCCCTGGGGAGGCCTACTTTCAACTTCAGAGAGGAGAGGCCCTGGGGATGCCTACTTTCAACTTCAGAGAGGAGAGGCCCTGGGTAGGCCTACTTTCAACTTCAGAGAGGAGGAGAGGCCCTGGGGAGACCTACTTTCAACCTAAGAGAGGAGGAGCAGCCTCAAGTAGGCCTGAAAACTCAAGATACAAAAAACTTATAAATCTCATCTTATTTTCAACTGTAAAAAATTGTACAGATATTGTTTTGTATTTTTGTCCATTATGCAGTAATATGTTTTATTGACATGACCAAAACCATTGCAGAATTTTATGCATCATTAATGTTATTATTAAAAAAGATCTTGAAAAATACAGAGTCTGTATATCCTGGTGTATTTGTGTGATTGTATGTGAAGCTGGTGTATTGTGTGTGATTGTATGTGAAGCTGGTGTATTGTGTGTGATTGTATGTGAAGCTGGTGTATTGTGATGTGTATGTGAAGCTGGTTATTGTGTGTGGTTTGTATGTGAAGCTGGTGTATTGTTGGGGTTATGTGAAGCTGGTGTATTGTGTGATTGATGAAGGCGGGTATTGTGTATTGTATTGAAGCTGGTGTTGTGTGTGGTTGTATGTGAAGCTGGTGTATTGTATTGTAGAAGCTGGTGTATTGTGTGTGATTGTAGTGAAGCTGGAGTATTTGTGTGTGTTGTATGTGAAGCTGGTGTATTGTGTGGATTGTAATGTGAAGGCTGGTGTATTGTGATTTGTATGTTGAAGCTGGTGTATTGTGTGTGGATGTATGTGAAGCTGGTGTATTGTGTTGATTGATTGAAGCTGTGTATTGTGTTGATTGTATGTGAAGCTGGTGTATTATGTGTGATGTATTTGAATGGTGTATTTGTAAGATTGTGAATGTGAGCTGGTGTATTGTGTGATCGTATGTGAAGCTGGTGTATGTGTGTGATTGTAATGTGAAGCTGGTGTATTGTGTGTGATTGATGTGAAGCTGGTGTATTGTGTGTGATTGTATGTGAAGCTGGTGTATTGTGTGATTGAGTGAAGCTGTGTATGTTTGAAGCTGGTGTATTGTGTGATTGTATGTGAAGCTGTGTATGTGTGTGAGTTGTATGTGAAGCTGGTGTATTGTGTGTGATTGTATGAAGCTGGTGTATTGTGTGTGATTGTATGTGAAGCTGGTGTATTGTGTGATTGTATGTGAAGCTGGTGTATTGTGTGTGATTGTATGTGAAGCTGGTGTATTGTGTGATTGTATGTGAAGCTGGTGTATTGTGTGATTGTATGTGAAGCTGGTGTATTGTGTGTGATTGTGAAGCTGGTGTATTGTGTGTATTGTATGTGAAGCTGTGTATTGGTATGATTGTATGTGAAGCTGGTGTATTGTGTGTGATTGTATGTGAAGCTGGTGTATTGTGTGTGATTGTATGTGAAGCTGGTGTATTGTGTGTGATTGTATGTGAAGCTGGTGTATTGTGTATGATTGTATGTGAAGCTGTGTATTTGTGTATGTGAAGCTGGTGTATGTGTGTGATTGTATGTGAAGCTGGTGTATTGTGTGATTGTATGTGAAGCTGGTGTATTGTGTGTTGTATGTGAAGCTGGTGTATTTGTGTATGTGAAGCTGGTGTATTGTGTGTGTTTATGTGAAGCTGGTGTATTGTGTAGATTGTAATGTGAAGCTGGTGTATTGTGTGTGATGTGTATGTGAGAGCTGGTTGGTATTGGTGTGGTATTGTATGTGAAGCTGGTGTATTGTGTATGTGAAGCTGGTGTAATTGTGTATGGTGAAGCTGGTGTATTTGTGTTGTGAAGCTGGTGTATTGTGTATGTGAAGCTGGTGTATTGTGTGTGATTGTATGTGAAGCTGGTGTATTGTGTGTGATTGTATGTGAAGCTGGTGTATTGTGTGTGATTGTATGTGAAGCTGGTGTATTGTGTGATTGTAAAGCTGGTGTATTGTGTGTGATTGTATGTGAAGCTGGTGTATTGTGTTATGGATTGTTATGTGTAAGCTGGTGTATTGTGTATGTGAAGCTGGTGTATTGTGTGATTGTATGTGAAGCTGGTGTATTGTGTATGATTGTGAAGCTGGTGTATTGTGTATGTGATTGTATGTGAAGCTGGTGTATTGTGTGATGTATGTGAAGCTGGTGTATTGTGTTGTGATTGTTATGTGAAGCTGGTGTATTGTGTGTGATTGTATGTGAAGCTGGTGTATTGTGTGTGATTGTATGTGAAGCTGGTGTATTGTGTGTGATTGTATGTGAAGCTGGTGTATTGTGTGTGATTGTATGTGAAGCTGGTGTATTGTGTGATTGTATGTGAAGCTGGTGTATTGTGTGTGATTGTATGTGAAGCTGGTGTATTGTGTGATTGTATGTGAAGCTGGTGTATTGTGTGATTGTATGTGAAGCTGGTATATTGTGTGTGATTGTATGTGAATGCTGGTGTAATTGTGTGATTGTATGTGAAGCTGGTGTATTGTGTGTGTATGTGAACTGTGATTGTGTTGTGAAGTTGGTGTATTGGTATGTGAAGCTGGTGTATTGTATGTGATTGTATGTGAAGCTGGTATTGTTATTGAGCAAGCTGGTGTATTGTGTGTGATTGTATGTGAAATGGTGTATTGTGTGATTGTATGTGAAGTGGTGTATTGTGTTGATTGTATGTGAAGCTGGTGTATTGTGTAGTGTATGTGAAGCTGGTGTATTGTGTATGATTGTATGTGAAGCTGGTGTATTGTGTGATTGTATGTGAAGCTGGTATATTGTGTGTGATTGTATGTGAAGCTGGTATATTGTATGTGATTGTATGTGAAGCTGGTGTATTGTGTGTGTATGTGAAGCTGGTGTATTGTGTAGTGAAGTTGGTGTATTGTGTTGATTGTGAAGCTGGTGTATTGTGTATTGATGTGTGGTGTATGTTTGATTGTATGTGAAGCTGGTGTATTGTGTATGTGAAGCTGTGTATTGTGTATGTGAAGCTGGTGTATTGTGTATGTGAAGTGGTGATTGTATTGATTGTATTGTGAAGCTGGGTATTGTGTGATTGTATGCGAAGCTGGTGTATTGTGTGTGATTGTATGTGAGCTGGTGTAAGTGTGATTGTATGTGAAGTGGTGTATTGTGTGTGATTGTATGTGAAGTGGTGTATTGTGTGATTGTATGTGAAGCTGGTGTATTGTGTATGTTGTATGTGAAGCTGGTGTATTGTGTTGATTGTATGGAAGCTGGTATATTGTGTGTGATGTGAGCTGGTATATTGTGGTTATGTATGTGTTTGTATGTGAAGCTGGTGTATTGTGTGTGTATGTGAAGCTGTGTATTGTGTATGTGAAGTTGGTGTATTGTGTTGATTGTGAAGCTGGTGTATTGTGTATGTGAAGTTGGTGTATTGTGTATGATTGTATGTGAAGCTGGTGTATTGTGATGTGAAGCTGGTTATTGTGTTGTTTTGTGAAGCTGGTGTATGTGTATGATTGTATGTGAGTGGTGTATTGTGTATGTTGTGAAGCTGGTGTTTGTGTATGTGAAGCTGGTGTATTTTTATGTGAAGTGGCTATTGTGTGATTGTATGTGAAGCTGGTGTTTGTGTGTGTTGTATGTGAAGCTGGTGTATTGTATGTGAAGCTGGTGTATTGTGTGTGGTTGTATGTGAAGCTGGTGTATTGTTGTGTTGTATGTGAAGCTGTGTATTGTGTATGTGAAGCTGGTGTATTGTGTGTGATTGTATGTGAAGCTGGTGTATTGTGTGTGGTTGTATGTGAAGCTGGTGTATTGTGTATGATGAAAGCTGGTGTATTGTGTGGATGTATGTGAAGCTGGTGTATTGTGTATGATTGTATGTGAAGCTAGTGTATTGTGTGTGTATGTGAAGCTGGTGTATTGTGTGTGGTTGTATGTGAAGCTGGTGTATTGTGTATGATTGTATGTGAAGCATGGTGTAATGTGTGTGTGGTTGTATGTGAAGCTGGTGTTTGTGTGTGGTTGTTTGTGAAGCTGGTTATTGTGTATGATTGTATGTGAAGCTGGTGTATTGTGAATGTGAAGCTGGTGTATTGTGGTTTATGTGAAGCTGGTGTATTGTGTATGTGAAGCTTGTGTATTGTATGTGAAGCTGGTGTATTGTGTGTGATTGTGAGGGCTTGTGTATTGTATGTGAAGCTGGTGTATTGTGTGATTGTATGTAAGTGGTGTATTGTATGTGAAGCTGGTGATTGTGTGATTGTATGTGAAGCTGGTGTATTGTGTGTTTGTATGTGAAGCTGGTGTATTGTGTGATTGTATGTGAAGCTGGTGTATTGTGTGTGTTGTATGTGAAGCTGGTGTATTGTGTTGATTGTATGTGAGCTGGTGTATTGTGTGTGGTTGTATGTGAAGCTGTGTATTGTGCATGGTGTATGTGAAGTGGTGTATTGTGTATGATTGTATGTGAAGCTGGTGTATTGTGTGTGGTTGTATGTGAAGCTGGTGTATTGTGTGTGATTGTATGTGAAGCTGGTGTATTGTGTTTGTTGTGAAGCTGGTGTATTGTGGTGATTGTATGTGAAGGTGGTGTATTGTGTATGATTGTATGTGAAGCGGTGTAGTTGTGATTGTATGTGAAGCTGGTGTATTGTGTGTGGTTGTATGTGAAGCTGGTGTATTGTGTATGATTGTATGTGAAGCTGGTGTATTGTGTGGTATGTGAAGCTGGTGTATTGTGTGTGATTGTATGTGAAGCTGGTGTATTGTGTGTGATTGTGAAGCTGGTGTATTGTGTATGTGAAGCTGGTGTATTGTGTATGTGAAGCTGGTGTATTGTGTGGATTGTATGTGAAGCTGTTGTATTGTGTATGATTGTATGTGAAGCTGTGTATTGTGGTTTTGATTGTATGTGAAGCTGTGTATTGTGTATGATGTATGTGAAGTGGAGTTTGTGTATGTGAAGCTGGTGTATTGTGTGATTGTATGTGAAGCTGGTGTATTGTGTATGTGAAGCTGGTGTATTGTGTATGTGAAGCTGGTGTATTGTGTGATTGTATGTGAAGCTGGTGTATTGTGTGTGGTTGTATGTGAAGCTGGTGTATTGTGATGTATTGTGAAGCTGGTGATTGTGTATGTATGTGAAGCTGGTGTATTTGTGTGATAGTATGTGAAGCTGGTGTATTGTGTGATTGTATGTGAAACTGGTGTATTGTGTGATTTTATGTGAAACTGGTGTATTGTGTGTGATTGTATGTGAAACTGGTGTGTTGTGTGTGTTCATGTATGAAACTGTGTTTAATATGTACAGGTCAACTATAGATGAACTTAATTCTAAGAGGTGGATCGCAGTCATATGTAGCATCTTGCTTAGATGGGAAATGTGCA